CTCTTCATCACTACGATGCTGTAACTCAGAGGCGATGAAGGTGACCCAGCTCTACTCTTCATCACTATGATGCTGTAACTCAGAGGTGATGAAGGTGATACTTTGTTGGCATCTTATTCTGAAAACCGGATGTTCGTCTGAAGAAACCGGATGTTGTCTCACGTTAATCTTTCCGCTAACTTTCAAAGTCCTTCGCTCGCTCCCGATCTGTGCCGTTTGAATGTGTTTACCGTGAATGTCAGCATATAGGTGCAATAACATGTAAGTGTCTGCTGAGTGGACCACGGAGATCTGAGTGTCTGCTGACTTTACCGCAGCGATGTCCAGTAGTCTCCATTCCCCCACCGCTGCCAGTGAGCAACGCACTTTCAAAATAAAAAAAATTAAAAAAATGCGCTATAAATTAATTGTCGGCGTTAATTAATGAATGCGTTAACGCGATAATAACGCGTTAACTTGCCCAGCACTAGTTAAAATATTTAATAATTAAATACTTAATAATCTTTTATATTTTTAAGAGTTTTGATTATATATCAGCAAAAATGTGATTATTACAATTAAACAATAGTATTGCAGACGTTTGCAGTAATTTAGAAAGTGTTTCCATCAAATCGTTTATTTTTATAATTATTGTTTTCTTATTATTTTTTTATTTAGTTTATAGTTTATTCCAGTTTTGCCAATATTTCTTCTTTAATACTGAAAGAGGAACCGTGTTTAGTTATCTTTGAGAATGAAGCTTCACAATAAAAACATTCAAAGCAAAACGGGTTTATTTTCACACTAATAATTATATTTTATTTTCATTTGTATATTTTAGTTTTGGTTGTATTTAAAAAATAAATCTATTTTTTTGTTTTATTTATTTATTTTTGGAGGCGTGATCTTTTAACGTGTTTTGACTTGATGTTTGTTTACAAGGAAAATGATTGTAGCAATATGATCATTTACATTAATAAGAAATGATGACTCACAATAAAAACATTACAAATTAAACAAAAAAATATAATAATTATTCATTTGTTTGTAATTTAAATGTCAATTTAAACTCAAATTAAATTAATCAAAAATGTTTTCCATGTTCATAACAGCTCATATTATTGTCAGTTTGTGTTTAAACAACTTTGAATAAAGTTGATGTTTGAATGGAAAAAGCATCATAATCATCATCATCATCATCATCCTCTCTCTCTCTCTCTCTCTGTCGTACGCCCACAGGTCTTCAAACTAGTTTCCTGTTTCAGGAATTCTTCTACAGATTTTTATTCTGCAGCATCAAAAAAAAAATAGTTTTTCAAACTTTATGCTCCAAACATTTCTCTTTAATGGGCAACAAAACATTTTGGATTTTGCCAAAACCAGGATGAGAATTCAACACACGTGACTCTTTCTTACAACTCTCATCTCCTTTCTTTTTGTCCCTCCCTCCCTCCTCCCTTCCTTCCTCCCCTCTTTCTCCTCCCCCGTTTGAAGACGGTCGAGTAGGAAAATGTGGCGTTTCACATTTCAAAGGATGCTCTGCTGTGCTTCTCTTTTCCACAGAGGCCTCCTCTTTATTTTCCTGCAGCAGCTTGTGGAGGGAACTAAAGCCAGAAGTTTCCCTCCTACAAGCTGCTGGAGGAAATTACAACAAAAAATAAAACGGTGCAGAGATTCATCCGCTTCTATAAAACAGGATTGTGAAAGAAAAAGTGATGCAACCGTTTCCAGGGCGTGTCGATGGAAACCAGCGGCCTGCAGGAGGCCGAGTTGTTTGTTCCCTCAGAGAGTCAGAGAGTCATGTTAACAGAGTCAGAGAGTCAGAGACTCAGAGAGTCACGTTAACAGAGTCAGAGACTCAGAGAGCCAGACTCAGAGAGCCACGTTAACAGAGTCAGAGAGCCAGAGCCTTAGAGAGTCACGTTAACAGACTCAGAGAGTCAGAGAGCCAGAGAGTCACGTTAACAGAGTCAGAGAGCCAGAGACTTAGAGAGTCACGTTAACAGACTCAGAGAGTCAGAGAGCCAGAGAGTCACGTTAACAGACTCAGAGTCAGAGACTTAGAGAGTCACGTTAACAGACTCAGAGAGTCAGAGAGTCACGTTAACAGACTCACGGAACCAGAACGCCCACTTTCACCTGATGCAGGTGAGATCAGTTCTCGCTAACAACTTCATTTAGGATTCCTTGAGCTCACAAATCAAACCTTTTATCCCTCTTATTATAATTTTAAATAATAATATATATATATATAAAATAAGATAATATATAATAAACTGATAATAAATCAAAAAATAATAATGAAAATATATATGTTTTCATCTCTCTCATTTAATTCTAAATAAGATCATATATAATGAGATAATAATAAATTAAATAGGGATAAGAAAAAAAGATAAGCTGCTTTTTAAAGCGTCTATATCTTAAAAATAAAAGTATGAAATGATAAAGTGAACCAGATACTATTTTACTCTCACTTCCTCTGAACTACGTCTTTCAACAGGAGAAAGGAGTCCTCGCTGCAGAGAGAAATAGCTGCGACGTGAGATTCTGTCCGTCTGTCAGCCTACAGTCATTCCTTCCTGCCCACACGTCCTCATTCCACCCGAGACACAACTAAACATCCGTCTTTCTTACTGCACATCATTACAGCTCAACGCTCTGCTTCAATTATTTATCTCTTTAAATCACACCAGTGAAGTTTTAAGTATCTTTGTGAGGCTGTTATTTACTTTTATGACATACAAGGGCGAACACGAGTCAGTGGTTCCCTCAAACACAAGCAAAGAGTAGTAAAAGTACATCATAGCACTTGTAGAAGTGGAGGTAAAACTTGCAAACACACAGCAGAGAATTCTGCCTAAAAGAGCAGTTTTCAGCGTGAGGATGTATTCACTGTTCATTGGATGTTTCTGCTGGATCTCTTCTCTGATTGGTTGCGTCTGTTCTGATCATGTGATGTCTTTAATGCACAACTGAGGTTAACGGAGGTTACACATGAATTAATGTTTAGCCCAAAGACACACACGCACACTCTCTCACACACACGCACACACACACACACACACACATTCTGCTGCAGAGACTGTTTAGGCTGGACTTCACTGATAAATGACTGGGCGTTGTTCTGTGTGTGTGTGCGCGTGTGTGTGATGGGGATGGATGGTTTAAAGTCATCTTCCCACTTCCTGTGTAAACCCCCACCACACACACACACACACACACACACACACACACACACACACACACACCAGTTTGTGCTCCCATCATGGTTGACTAGGGACCGGGTTAAACGCTAACTTCCTGTGCCCCGAGGTCACGTGTGTGTGTGAGTGTACCTGTGCATGTTGCCGTTGGTGGTGAAGGTCTGTCCACAGACGCTACACTTGTAGGGTCTCTCCCCGCTGTGGACCAGCATGTGTCGGTCCAGCGACGAGGCCGAGCTCAGGCACTTCCCACAGATGCTGCAGGAGTGGTCCGTCGCTCCGGCGTCAGCGTTGTGCTGCAGAGAGGAAAGTACATCAACACTTATACCAAGTACTACTACTACTACTAGTAATACTACTAGCAGTCATGGCAGTAATAACACTTCACATGGTTTTATAATTATGAGTATGGACTGATCAGATATCACGTTATCTTACATTATCACATCCTGCCTGATCCCTACTGAGCATGTGCAAACTAATACTACACACCTGTAGTCTAGCATCCTTTTTTTTTTGCTAATAAAGCTACTTTGTGAAAAAATGTGTTCAGAAGGAGGAGAGTTAGTAACGTTAGCTGTTAGCAGCACAGTCCTACTAGACTATATAACAGCCAACTTTAACAGCTAAATAACAGAGCTAACAGCTAACTTTAACAGCTA